TTGCCAAACAGTTTGAAGTTTCTTAGTGGATGTGAACTTCTGACGATGAAGAAAGTAATAAAAAATACTCTCTCTCATTCTTCTGATGTTTAGCAAATAGAAATAATGTTGGTGATCCTGACTGAGCTGAAACAGGAAACGTCTGGTCTGATTAATGTCTGGTTTCTACTGTACATCTAAATCATAAATTAGATGTTTTTTTTAACTTGTACATGGTGGGAACAGGTCCCTTTGAATAACTTTTCAGAGAGTCCAGCCCTTTTTAATATATTTCCTGTAGAAAACCCTGGAGCAGCGCAAAGAAAGAAAAAACTCAGCGACGCTCTTCTTCCCTGTTTGGACGCATCAGATGATCAGTACCATCAGCTCCTGTGTACTCCGATAACAACATGTATATCCTGGACATCTGCTGACCATCTCTCCCCTGAAGAACGTGGCAGCAGCAGTTTGTCTCTACAGTAATCGGGTCGGCGCTGAATAAATCAGATGATAAAAGCACAACACTGATTGGTGTTGGTCAAGTGAAGCTGCAGACTTTCCTCGTGTGTCTCTGCTGCTGCCTCCATCATAAATGATGGAGCGGTAAACAGAGGTGGAGGTAAACTACAGGCATCATCTGAAGGAAAACAGAGGAGAGATGCTGTTTCTAGTTTCTGTTTGTCTCTCTCAACAAATCCTCACAGAAACAACAAAACATCCACCTGAACGGTTCAGACTGGGTTCACACGTACAAATCACCTGGCTGGATTTAGGAAACAGAGCCCGAATGGTCAGAAGAAACCGACTGTGAAGGCCGGATAAAATCACAACTCCACAACTGGCCGTGACACACAATCAGCGGGAGGATTCATCACGAGGCGGCGCCGCCATCAACCGGGTCAAAGGACAGAAACTGAAACGTGAACGGGCTGATCCGACGGTTCTGTGTCTCCAGACGTGGACGGTATGCGCTCCTTTATCTGTTCTGTCACCGGTGAAGCTCTGGATTGTGAAGATTTTCAGAAACCAATATGTGAAAAAAGAAAATCGGTCATTTCATCTCAAATCATCAGAAATCGCAGCTCGACCGTCTGATGGGCTGAAAACTTTAAAGCAGAAAGTTTTTTTTTTCTTTCAGAAGATATTTGTAAAATTTTAGCTTGAAATCTTCATGAGGACATTTTTATATATTTTTTTATTTTCCACTTGCAAAATTTATTTATTTTTTTTTGACAACATCTCAGGAATTATTAAAAAATTATTTATTTATTTGCTATTTTTCATCATGTCATTGATTTTGCACTAAGAAACAAGTAGATTAAATAATAATAATAAAACAAAAAAATCCACTAGTGATATTTTCTGAACCACATGTAGCCGCGTCACAACAACAGAAAATAAAACATCAAGCATATTTAAATATTAAATACTTGATCTGAAAATAAAAAGGAGGTTAATTTCTACTGACTGATGAAGCACAAATTGTTCCATGAAAACAAAAATATCTGTAGATGGTTCTGAAGCTTCAAGAGAAAAAAATAGAACTAAGAAAATAAAATGTGTTATTAGTGAACAGTTCAGGCTTTTATCTTAATTAGTTCTTACAAAACCGCTGAAATTTCACTCTGCAAAAAAAATTTGTTTAAAAATATTTGTCTTGGAAATTAAATTCACAAAAACCATTTTTAATATCGTTCACGATAAAACTGTTTCAAACACGTCAGGGACGCTTTGAGATGGAAAAACATTTTAGAATTTCCATTTATTGTCAACCTCTCTCTTCCTTTTTTGGCTACTTTAGTTTTTTTTTTAACAATCTGTCGCTCATTTGTTCAGCAGCTGGTTACCGTGACGACTCTTTTAGGCTCTAATGCAACCGACTGGTGAGTGAATGATTTTTTATTTTATTCTTTTAAACGTCACATCTCCCTCTGAGGCCGACTGAGAATCATTACTCATCAAAACCTGTGAAGCTTTCCTTCAGCCGGAGCAGCTCTGAAGTGAGAGCTCACACTTTAAGGCCTTTGTGGTGGAACAGATGAATTAATTAGGTGCTGAATAAAATAATAAAATAAACTAATTGAATCCATTTCAGACATGACATCAGCTGAGTCGTGGTGAAGCCAGGAAGCCGTCCTCGGGAAGATTCGGAGAGGAAGACGGAGGAGTAGCAGGAAGTAAACAGACCAACAGTGCAGTAAATGCAGCATTGCGGCTCTGCTGCGATACGAGACCGACTCTCATCAATAATGTAGGCGAGAGCGGAGCGGCCTGCCAACGAGCAGCACGCCGAGGAAACGAGCAAACAGCCGGCCGGCCGGGTCACAGGCGGCTAAACACACATCACAGCGCAGGTATCAGTCAGACGCTCACACCTGTGTGCACAAAGAGCAGCAAGTATGAAAAGCTCAGGACTCACCGCGCTCGTATCGGTTTTAATTTCTCATCAGCAGTTTGGCACTTTGTGAAGGACTAACGACAGATGCTGGAGGCCAGAACCTGGCTTCGTTTAACGCTCTGGAACCCAGAACCTGCTGCCAGGTCTGAGAGGCAGATGATCTGCTCTTCAAACTGCCAGAACGACACTAAACACAGACCTGTCGGGTAGATTCTCAACTTTCTGATGCTTCTCGTTGTCGCTCATTTGCGTCTGTTTGACTCCAGCGGTTAGTTCAGTTTGGTTTTCTGTACGTTACGTCTTGGTTTTGTGAATGTTCAGCCTCAGTGAATGTCATTCCTTGTTTTTTTTTTGTCCGTCTTTACTTTAGCTGTAAATGCTGCTGTTCTATTGAGATTTTGTACTTTTGTCAATAAAGGTTTACAAACGTTAAACACATGCTTGTATGTGAAGCACAGCTCCACCAGAAAACCAACCACGATTCATCAAGTTTGCTTTATAATCATTAAAAAACATGTTAGCAGTTAGCAGGTTCTGTAAAGAACAGAAGTTCTGCTCTCCTTGGTGCAATCAGAACCTCTGACTGACCAACAGTCATGTGAGGACAAATTCAGCTGCTTTTAAGTTAAACTAGGTTGAAGTGCAGGTTGTGTTTTGCAAAATATCCATCAGTATGTAGAGTTATCTTCTTCTTTTCCAGTATGAGGAACATCTGTGGGCACTTAAAAATGTTGTACAGGCTTTTTAATGTTATTAAAGAAATTCAGCTTCTCCCTCATGCTTCATGATTCCTGTGAACCGCGTCACGCTGCACAGAAACATATTAAGTCGTCTTTTCTTCTAGTCGTGCTTGTTCTGTTTCCACGACTTCATCTTGCAGTGAGAAATGAGTCCACAGTGAGGAGAAATGAGGCGGGAGCAGGAGATGTTCAGGATTCAGAGGGCGAAACACTGAGTGATGTTCTGGCCACACAGGAGAAGCTCTGAGCACATCGCTGACCGTGTCGGCGGCGGCGTTGGTTTATCGACACGTCACGCTGACGCTGAGCAGCATCAGGATTCACTCTGAGCTTCTGGACGCCTGATGAATTTAAGCTTTGGTTTTAATTCTGTTTTTTTGTCTCTGAGACGAATACCTTCCTGGCTGTGTGTCTGAGGGTTTATCACAGCGCTGTAGCTCAGTACAGATGTCTGACACATCTGGAGACGCTGCTGGAAAAAAAACAGAAAACGAAAAAAAAAAAGCACCAAACCAGCTCTAAAACAGGAAACTGTAAAGTTATGAGCTGTAAAGTCAAACTAGAAGGGCTGAAGTGAAGAGTGAGGTGATAATTGCACGTCGAGGAAACATTTTTTAATTTAGATGAAGTCATTTGATCTGTGTGTCAATACGAACTTATTGACGAGCAGCGTAGGAGCTTTAATTACACAGCCCAGGATTCCTCTGAGTGATAACCGACTGCAGAAAATCAATGAAATGAATTAGAATGGGGGAAAAAATGAAATAAAAAACTAATGATTACATAGTCGGTGGTTCCTTTTACATTATTTTCTTCATTTTTTTGTTCAGTCTCTGCTACAGGAAGCGTTTCTCACGTCTGAGTCGATAATATTGTTGGTTTATTACATTAACGTCGGAGGTTAATCAGGTTCGTTTGCATCATTTATAAAACTCTAGAGTCTCGATGCTATTTTTTTTATTTGCCAGGAACATGTTTCTGATCTACTCATCATTCTGTTGGGTTTTTACAACAGTATAGAACTCATTAGGCAGGACAGCCTCGTTGTTCTAAATGTGCTGCGTAGTGAACGGAGATCAGCAGATCAGCAGATCACAAACCCTCCAAACTGAAGATCTTTGCAGCAGCAGAACAGAAGCAGAACACGCCGTCATCGTTTCAGCACTTAAAAGTTCATTTGCACATGAAAGCAGCAGCGTTTTCTGCGTAATGACACAACAGCAGCAGCAGGTTGGGGGGAAACCAAAAACCTACAAGTGTATTTAAGCACAATGGTTCCCGGTGGTACGTGTGTGGATTACACCAATAACAACAGACTATTATCATGGCCGCTCATAACCGACGCTGATTCCTCCCCGATGACTCCGACACAAAACGCTGGAGATGAGCGCAGAGCAAACACAGAGACAGAGAGCGAGCTGAGAACGAACCCAAAAAACCACGACGACGTGTCAAACAGTCGACTCGGCTGTAAATCCTGATTTTATGCGTGTGCGTGCGACGGAGGGTCAGGAGCTGATATGAAACGATGCGGCATCTGTTGGGGCTTTAAGTGATATATCACTCCATTCCACTTCGTTTAGCATCACTTCGTCTGAGTTAATTGGTTCATGAGGAGCACTAATTAAGGGGAATGGCCTTGTTTATCGTCACGGCGACGCTCGTTAAGCGGAGAAGATCTCTCTTTTTTTTTTTTCCTTTCAGGACTGGTGACATTAACCCACCCTTCACTACTCGTGTGTGTGTGTGTGTGTGTGTGTGTGGGGGGGGGGATGAGTCAGCGTGTGTGTTTGCTTGTGTTTGGATGCTGCATCCAGAGTGCAGCGCTTCGTAACGCTCCACATGTGCTGCGTGCAGACGTGTGCGTGAACACGAGGACCTACCTCTCGACGTCGTGACGCCCAGCAGGTCTGCTTGATTTTCCAAACCACAGCGGCGACCAGCAGCAGCGACAGGAAACAGCTGGAGAGAGAAGAGACACGGAAGCAGGTTTGGTCGATCAATCACAGATCAATGAGTCCTCAGTAGAACAAAAGCATGAAAACACCAAGTTAGCGAGCGATGGACCAGACGGGCTGCAGCTCATCCTAATATCCTGATGCACCGTCGCTTGTTTTGGGGGAATTTGTAGATACCAAGTCTGATGAACATCTAAACATCTACAAATAAATAAATAATGGATCCAACATGGAAACAACATCTGTAGTCCAGTAATTCTCTTTTTTTCCTCCCACATCGAATTGTTATGGAAAAAAAGTAGTTTCCTCAAAATGTAGTTCTGGATCTGATGGTTCCTCTGATGAAGCACAGAGCAAAACCTGCTGCTCACATCAGTGCACGTTTGTGTGCTAATAATTTAATTACTGTCCTAATTTTACCAAAAAAGTTTTTACAGGTGGTCGATGTGGTTTTAGACGTTTTGGATGAAGCTTCACGTGAGAAGTTTGTGAACATCTGACATCCTTAAAACGCTTTTTTCTGGTTTCTTTTCATGTTTTCGTTTCCAGATAGCGTGAAACATGAAACGATCACGCCAACTTAACCGATTTAAAAACAATTATTCTCTTCATTTTTCTTTTGTGGTTTTGTTTGTTTTTTCTACTTCTTTGCAAACAATTCATTATGTTTCTGGTGTAACACTACAAAAGACTCCCAGTTTGTCATTTTTGCTTGTTTTTGATCAATATATTTTGGTAAATACTTATTTTGGCAAACAAATTTTTCTTTTTAGTGGTTTCTCACAAACTCTCTGTCTGTGTAGGTAAAACCATGTGAACCATTTAATCAGAATAAATGCTGTCCTATCACACATTTTGTTTGTTGGTAAATCATGAAAAAAAACCCCAAAAAACTGCGATGTGTTTGAGGTGAGTTGCTCTCCTGCACACACTGCGAGATATATATACTGCATGTATTGTGCAGAATAGCATGGTTATAGTATAGATTTATTTACCAGTTTTCTAAATGTTTCTGTGCGTCTCAGTCATGATGTGATTATCGGGTGTTTTCTCCACATCACATAACTGAACTCTGCGTTCGATATAGTTCAACAATTTCCCACCAAAGGGATCAATAAAGTTCTATTCTATTCTATTCTATTCTATTCTATTCTATTCTATTCTATTCTATTGAAGTATCTGCCTCTCGTAGGAGAACGTTTAGATCCAAGCAGAAGGAAACACAACCACAGCAGTCACACAGCAGCGGCTTCACATTTACGAGCCTGCAGCTCCGGTTTCCGGAGAGCAAAGATGACAAAGGAGAGAAATTCTTGAGGAATCTGTGGCGGGCCAGAAAAGCCGCGGTGACCACAGGCAGCTGGGGATTTTAGGACGGCGAAGGCCAGCGAGAGGTCAACGAGCGACACGATGCTCTCCAACAAAGAACAAGGTCCCATGTACACTCTGACACACACACTGTCTGTTTTAAAGTCCAGTGTCTGGAGGGCAAAGTTATCTGGCCCAACACAAAGCTCCCCTCTCAAGCAGAACTTCTGACAAGAGCTCAAAACAAGCGCGCCCAAAGACTTAACAACAGGAAGTCCCTGAGAAAGTGCTGAGGACAGCAGCGCCGAACAATCCTCCCCTTCATGCCGCTGTCAGTGTGTGCATGTGTCCTCCTGCGCATGGCGGCGGCGCTGTGAAGGGTATTAGCGCCGTAATGAGCGTGACATTTTCAGAGCCAGTGTGCAGAAGAGGCCGCGGCCGTGGCCCCTCCGGTCCGCTGGCGACCTCTCGGACGCATTCGGACTCGTCTCGACCAGGAAATCCCCTCCGGTGACGAGGACAAGATGCTCATTGCTGCTGGATGAAAACCATCCGGCTTCCAGAGTCCTGCTGCTGACTGGTTCCAAACCATAGAATCTTTCATCCATCATGACTCAACGCCAGATGAAACTAAACACGTTTCATCCGCCGGTTTGGACGTTCACATCACAGCTCCAGCTTCATCCCAACAACCTTCAACCCTCCAGGTCATCACGGTCCGACACACCTCAGAACATGAGCTGATTCGGTGGCACGAAGGGAACGTACAGAAGATCATCCAGGTGGTTTTAAGGTGTCAGCTGATCAGTGTACATATACTAGAAGATATACAATCAGGTTACAGTCAGTGATCGGCTTGTTGCTGGGTCCAACATCACAGATCAAAACCTGAGGACGAGTGGGGGCGGGAAAGGAGAGCAATGTCTGAAAGAACAAATCCAGAAACGGCCTCCACCTGCTTCCCTCTGGGATGGAGGGAACATCTGGCTGAAACCACCAGGTCTGTCTGCTGCACACGCCGATTTCAAAAACAGCATTTTTAGTAGAAAACCTTTCAGAACTCGTCTTCACCAGGCCAGACACCAGAGCTAACCCCCGTCGCACCCACTATTCCCAGCAACAATTAAGACAAACACACTCAGCGACTCCCCTGCAACGATTTCTGCCTCCTCCTAATTTTAAAAACCCTCCACTGGCCGGGACTCAAATCCAATCAGGCCCAAGATCCCCCCGTTCAGTCCGTTGTACCGCAGCTCGCCATTAATGGGCCACAGGGCCGGAGCTCAGCCATCTAACCGGCGGAGCGCGGTGGCTAATTGTGGCTATTACGGAGGCATTAGAGGGGAGGAAGGACGGGGGAGGCGGGGGAGTGTCCTGTGGGTTTGTTAACACTCCGCCGAGCCTCTTGATAGGTCGAGCTTTAAGACTGCTCAGGTAAGAGCAATCGAACTGATTAAACAACCGGAGAAGGTGTAAGAACGAGTCAGAGTCAGAGTGATGCTCTTTCAGGCGCTGGAGCTCGAAGAAATGTGGAAAAAAAACCCACAAAAGCACGGTTCATATGACAAACAGGAGCAGGCGAACACAATGAAACATGTGAACCCCACCAGGCGGAGCAGCAAAATCAATAAGCTATTCGTTGAACACGAGCCACAGATAGCAACACAATCGGAAACAGCTTTCCATCTGCACGAGCAGCAAATCAACGCCGGCGCAGAAAGAAAGAAGCTGCACGTCCTCTCAGGTTCACCCTCATCAGCCGATTGTTTCCACTGTTGGTGCTTCTCAGTTCAGCAGATTCAGATCATGTGTGAGCTGGAGTTTGTAAATCAAACGGTTAGATATGTAGAGCTTCTGGCTGCTCTCTGAAACGGATGGTTCAGGTTTTAAAGAAAGCTTGAATCCGTTTTAAACCCCAAAACATGCCGAAACCTGAACATCCAGAGAGCAGAAAGTGCTATTGGGACCAGCCCTACTAGTTAACTATGAACAATAATGAACAACTAATGAGCCTTCCAGCATCAAGCCCTCCTCGTATCTGGACCTCCGTCTGGACAATCCGACAGCCTTGATATCTGACATAGAAGAAGGTTTTACATTTAGTGTCGGATTATCGAGTCACGGCTGTATTTGTACTGAACAGATTCAGTTAAAACCTAAAAATTTTGCCTTCCTGTGCGCAAACATGAAATGATTCGTGACTCGCCTACAACCGACGGTTATGTGACTACAGGAGATTCTTGGCTGAACTGCCGGCTGTGTTGTACGGAGCAGATAGAAGAGGCGCATGGAAACTCATCTGAGACAGTAAAACATCTACAGCGTGCAGAGCCAGCAGCTTGTTTCTAGAGTTCACAACACGTGGATGAATGTTCTGCATGTTGACTCCAGGTTTTGACAACTTTTGTAAAACAAATAATCAACAAGTTTAAACTTTTCTCTCTCTTTTTAATCCTTTATGGTATTTTCGCTGCGTCATGCTGCACAGAAGACGCTTTGAGTTCTTTCTACTTCTAGTCGTGGTTGTTCTGTTTCCACAGAGGTGCAGGAATTTATCTCGCAGTAAAAAATGAGCCTGCAGTGAGCGAAAGGATCAGAAATCACCTCCAAACATCTCAAAAGTGCAAAACTGCAGTCACCAACAGGGTCCAGAGGCACAGAAGATCTTATTACTGATGCGTTTCACTTTACATCTTCTTAAACGTCTGTGACACTTTTATGTTTCAGGTAATGATGATGAGACAGAAAGAAAGTCGGTTAAAATGTGACGAGAGTCCAGGATGATATGGAAAAGACAGACAGTTTCATTCACAGCTTGTGTTTAAAGGATTTGTTGGATTCCCTGTAAAGTCTAAAGACAAAAGGAAGCACAAGAACGCACACGAGACGTATAAAAGGTCAACCGCTCGTCTCTCATCGTCCTGCTGCTGGAGCGCCAATAGATTTGGTTTTCCTGTTTGTCTGACTGAGCCGACACATTAAAGGTGTTTCACCGAACCGACTCTCATCTCCACAGAGGATTTCTCCTGGAAGCTGACGGCGCTACGAGAGGTCATTTTGAAATCAAGTGGGCGAGTTGGGTTCAGCCTCACGAGCCTCTCGGCGCCGAGCAGCTCCTCGGCTGTTTTGGGAAAGAGGAGGAGGGAGGAAGTGATTGCTAATCAAGCGAGCGGGAGCTGGGAGTAATTGGACAAAGCTGAACTGCAGTGTCACCAATTAGCATGTGAGACTGTGCAGAGCAGAGACATAAATGCTGTTTAATTATAGCCGCTTTGCTTTTTTCTTCGTTTAGCGATGAGAGGAACACGGGCGGAGGATGGATGAAGGGAGGGAGGAAGGGGAGAGTTTCTAAACTTTTCAGGGTCTTTGTGGAGGAGGTTTCAGAGGAGTTTAAACAGCTGGCCTTCATTTTCTACAGCGTCTCTAACGACGACCAGCGTGCTCCTTTGGGATATTAAGCCACTGTATTTATGCTCATTGTGCAACAACACGCTGAACTAATGACGGCAGCAGTGAAACGAGGCCGTTAGCTGAGCGTTTTTCTTCCCGGCGGCGGCGGATTCTGCAGCGTTTTCCTGCTTTCTCTCTGCTCGCGCCACCGCCGGCTTCCACTCGGATTTGATTCACCGACAAATTGTGTCATTAATGGAGGCGCGCTGCTCTTCAGGCTGCCATGGAAGCAAACCTATCGCTGACAAAATGAGTTTATATGCAACTAATTTGCTTTGCAAATTGATTCTGGAGGACACATAATTGCTCAATTACTAAATTAATTGCTAAATATTCAGCAGAAGCCAACAGAGTCCCTGTTGTGAACTCAGACCTGAGTCCTCCCCAAACCTTCACCGAGAGACACGATGCTGGTCCTGCTGCAGATGTCAGATATCATAGGGAAGCACATTACATGTCTGGTTTAGGTTAGGAAGGGAATTTCCACAAAAATGTGTTTGTTTGATGACGGGAACAAGAATAGGAATTAATCTACAAATCTACAAACCTCCAATTCAGGCTGGATGTCTTTCCTAAATTCGTTTTTGTTGTTGTTGCTTGCGTTATATTTTTATTCACTGTGGGCTGAAACATAAAGTCCTGCACCTCTATGGAAGCAGAACAACCACGACTAGAAGAAGGGAGAATTCAAACATGACTTCTGTGCAGCGTGATGCACTTATAATGCCAGAAAAGTCCTTAAAAAGAAATAAAAGTTTAATTATTTACTTTAGAAAAAACTGGATGCACAACATTTTTGCAGCCGCAGCTGTTGGGAGAAGACATGGTGTCTCTAAAGACTATATATGTTTAAGCTTTTACATTTCTAACTGGCTTCCAAACTCTTTACTGCTGTTTAATCCAGAAAGTCTCTTTGGTCACGTGACGGTTTATTGCAGCCGACTTGTACCGAGTAGCAGAGAATTTTTTGTCTTTTTACACAATGTGGGATTTATTCTGGTAAAAGTTCTGAATGATGTGTGAAGAGGAAAATGATTTATGAACATGTTAAACTTGTTAATCCTCTGAACTCCACAGACACGACATCGTTTTATTGCCAGATTGTCTGAACACCGTTAGTCTGAGCCTGAAGATGTAAAAACAGCAGGAATGGATGGACTTTAAAACGTCCTGTTCCTGAAAACAATCCTGTGACACTCTGTACCGTCAAGAAATCGATCAAATCTGAGCGGAAAACTGGGATATTTCATCAAAATTCTCTAAGAAAAATTGACCAAAAATGAAGTTTTACTTTTAAACTGATTCTGTGAAAAAGAAAAAACAATCTGCAGGAAAAATGCACAAAAACAAAAACATGCTTTTAATTTTTTTCTTAACAGAAAAATGTAAAAACCTTTATTTCCTCTCCAGTTTTGGCTAAACTGGTGGACAAATGTTGTTTTTCCACCACACTTTCTTTTTCTATGTTTATGATTTATTGCATCATAACTTTGTTTTACTGCACACAACACATTTGTGAGTCCGCTCTCCTTCTGGCCACAGTTGTGCTGCAAACACTTTATATCGCTGTAAAAAAAAAAAAAAAGATCTGACTTTACAACCAGAGCTGCAGCCAGAAGACCACACGTGGAGAAACGCACATTTCAACCTGATAGAACAGCAGCACATTCAAACCACTGCATTCAGAACATCTAGAGAATCGGTGCGATATCAGCGTTTCTGCAAGTGGAAATCCTACATAACAATATATGCAATATCAGTATTGTTCTACATGTAGATATGTGCGATTTGGTAATTTTCTAAATCCAGAAGAATCTCAACAACATCAAGAACACATGTGCATATTTTTATTTCCTAGTTATGTTCGGCACACTTTTGTTTGTTTGGACTGCAAAGGTTCCTGCTGTGGGAACAATAAAGGATCATCGTATCTTAGCCTAAAAGCGAGTAAAAATGTGACGAGCAAAAAAAAAAAAGAAGAAGAAAACACCCCAAAGTCGCTCCGGATTCAAAGGAAAAGTGTGTTAACGTCCAGGATCGGTTCAACTTTGTTAAAACTCCTTTTTCTCAGTGAACCTCGAGTCGTTTTTTTTAAATGCTGCTATTATATAAGTAAAGGACCTGAATAACATTTCTGCTGCTGAAAACACAAACATGCACATCACCTTATATAACCGGCCAGTCAATAGAGCCACAATAAGAAGAGAAACTAGTCCCGTAGTTGGAGCACATAACCTTTTCTCACTGAGAGCCTGGTGCAGTGCAGGAGAGAGCAGCTCGTAAACAGAGCGGTGACTAACACACACACACACACACACACACACCAAACTCTCCCGGCAAAACTTGACACTGTCCCCTAATGATGACATCATCCCTCTGTGCAGGCCTAAAGGTCGCTGATGTCCGGAAGCCGGCCCTGGGCACAAAGCGCTTCGCTTCCTCACACGGCTGCACACAAGCGTGAACGCAGTGAGGAGGACGCGCACCAACGCATGCAGGAAGCAACACACTCGCAGACAGACACACACTTTGTCCGGCGTCGTCGCTGAGTGGCAGAATCTTGCCTGAAGACAGCAGACTTCATCCAGAACGCCGTCCCAAAACACTCTCATTAGAGCCGGAGTGACTGTGAGCCGCCACGCGCCGAGCCGGTCCAAGAAAGTGACCGCTCTGTCTGCCGGCGCGCCTCCGAACGGACTCCATGCCGGGAACCGTGGTGGAGACATGTGTGGGATTTACATATTTCTGTTCAACTTAAACCACATTCTGATCTCCATACATATACAAAACAGGTTTGAAAGGCGTGTTATCATCAGTACACCGTCTATCAGAGCCAGAATCTGATAGAATAGAAAAAAAAAACAGCCGATTTCTAAAGTCTTCAAACTAATCATGTGTCTCATTTAAAATATAAGCAAACTAAACAGTTTGCACCAAATAGATTCTGCAAAAACTAAATAATTCAGTGCTCCTCACCACAACAGTGAAGCCATCAGTGGCTCATCTGCAACCAGCAGTCTTTTAGCTAAAATTCAGGTAATTTTCAGACGAACTGCAGGTTGTGTTCACACAGAGCAGAGAGGAACTGTGTGGCTCCACAGTACAGAGGAGCAGGTTGATGCTACGTTCAGCACGGTGGAACATCTCTGAGCTGATGTGTAGAGTCGTGTGGAAACCTTTGTGGAGGTTGTGAAAATACAGAATGTGGAGCCATGTTTTGTTTTTGTGTTGGTCAGACCTGTGGGCGCTCATACAAACAGAAAGAATGGACCCATTTCCAACTTTCCCACAGTCCTTGAACTACTCATCTGTGATGTCCTGTAATTATTCAACATGCTCCAATTAATAATCAGTCAAAACTTCCCCCTTTGCATGAACACAGATGATTTTGAGGCTTTTGGCTGAACTGCAGGCAGCGTTTCCACCGAGCAGAGAGGACACGAGCACGGAAACATATTTAAAAGTAAATCATAAACTCTCTGTAGTACGATAGGACTGTGTGCAGTCTGATGGAGTGTAGTCGGAGCATCTAGGATGACATTTATGTTGTTTTTTTCATGCTTTTGAGACCAAAACTGAAAGAAAAATGGTGATTTGTGAGGCAAAGAGACGACTTAATATAATCATGAGAGGCTCAGTCAGAGCCAAGAGCTCTTGGTCGTGTTCCTCTAACTGCTCCTGAACAATGTTTGCAGTGTAGCAGGAACAGCCTCCCTCACATCTGAAGAAAATAATCACACGTCAGCTGTTTAAACGCTGCGGCTACATCTAGTCTTAAACAGACCACATTCATACGTCACATCATTCAGCTCCTCCACGTTTATCACATCAGTGTGTCAGTGAGTTTACAATCAGGCTTTCTAAACAGAACTTGTGCGTTCTTGCTGTTTCTCAGAAAGCGAGCTCGCTCCTCGGCGGTTCCCCAGACTCTTCCTGTCTGCAGCTACCAGATGCAGAAGCTCACAGAGCTGCTGGGGTTAATTGTCCTGCCTGAGGCTGCTGCCACCTTCTGCAGCTCACCGAGTTCAGGTCACGGCCCGGTTCTGCAGCGAGCCAAACCGCCGAGTCCGAGGAGGAGGAGCTGCTGGACGCTGGGCAGAACATAGGCTGCAGCACAGAGAGAGTAAATAAGACACTGAGGGAAAACTCACCTGAAGAAGGTAACGAAGAACTGCACCAGGTCCATGATGCTGTTGTGCTGCGAGAACGCAATCTGGTGCAAAGGAGACAAAGAAGAGACAAAAAGACGGGTCAGAACGTAGAAATATATCCACACTGAATACAGCCCAGTGATGTTCAGAGTTACAGCTGAAATGTGCTTTATGTTTAATATGATAGAAACTACTCAAACGCACATTTTCCAGGTCCAAAGCGCAACACAAATCCACACATTGAACAGCTCAGTGTGTTGCTCTGTTCTTAACTTCTTGATTTAAAAAATATATGTTTATGATTTTAATGCAGGAAAATAATCACATGTGTAACTGCACTGGAAAAACCAAATAAAAATAAACATAAACAACAATCAGCTGAGAAGAAAAAAAAACACAAAAATGTAAAATTAAACTCATTAAACTCATGAAACTACAGTAAATGTCCACAGCTGTAATAATTGTACTGCTTCAGTTTTAAATGAAATCATGTTGTTTATTTTTGCTTTTAATAAATCATTAAATATCAATATATTTATATAGATAAATAAATAAAAATCTGTTGAATAATCGCTGGTATTTGTCAGGCTAGAAAAGCTTTATTTTAAAAAATAAAATAAATTTCTGAATATTGGTTGTTTTGTTTTTTTTACTTTAGATATTAAAATTCCTATTTTATTTTTGATTTATTTGATATTTTGTGCAACACTGCAAAAAAAATGACTGATTTTTGTTCCACAGTGGACATGAAATTAAAACCTTCAGTTCAGGTTTTGTGGTTTTTCTGCCTGTTTGGATCGAGTCAGCACGAGTTCTACTTCAGATGAAGGAATGCTTTACAAATAAACACTTATAGAAACAGAGCAGACCAGACGTAGGCGATGAAATCAGTGAAACACGTCTCAGACTTGAACAGAGGGACGATGATATTCTCTCGTATTGTTTTGTACGAAGCAGCAGAAGCAGCGACTCTGTTCTTACGTCACCGTGTTTTCCTTCAGAGCCTCGTGTGAACCTAATGCAGTGGATGAACATCTCTCTGACCCGAGGCCGACGCTCAGACCTCTTACACAAAACCAACCGCTTTATTTCCGCCAAACACAGTCACACGTGTTCTGGATCTCGCCGGCCGACACCATCGCGGAGCGCACAAAGCGAGCGGCGACCGTGTGGTTTGTAGGTTATTATGAGATTAGGCCGTGACAAAAGGCTTCTGGCCTCTTCTGTTTGTGGCACTTTGTTCAATTGGACTCCCACAAACCTGCCGGACGCTCCGGCTCCACTCAACCCACTGACTGCACCATCCATCATCAGCTCGGTGCTGGTGGTGCAGCGTGAGGCCCTCCGGCGTCCACAGCCACAGACCTCATACATGTTGACTCACACGTCCTGTAGGATTGCTTTAAAGGGCCAGTTCACCAAACTTAGCTTGCTAATTGCTCCCACTGGTATTTAGCTGTGCAGGTGTTTTCTGTTGGAGCTTTTAGAGAGATGGACCATCTGCAGGTGAACTAACCTGTGCTCTGTAAAGCCCATCGCTATGCCAGGAATTAATGTTAAAAATACATGTTTGAAAAATCACTAAAATTACACCTTTTATCTGAGCCAGAAATTGCAAAAACATAAATAATCATTTAATTTTTAGCTGTCCATTGGTGCTCAAACTACTCATCTGTCATGTTCTGTTGCACGTGGAAAATATTCAAATCTATAATTAAAATTGCATTATTTTGTCAAAATTAGTTCATTCGTTCGTCTTGTTGCCAAAAATAAAACCATCGTATTAATCTCATGTGTAAAAAGCCAAAAAATTAAAATAAATAAAATTCTTCACTCCTCTGCATCACCAATAAGTCAGAAAGTAATACGTGCAGTCCAGACAGTTATACGATGATATTTCTTTGTGTTGAACTGCAGGCAGTGTTCACACAGCATGGAGGAGGCAAGGATGGAAGAAAGTACAAATATAAGTGGTAAAACATCTACAGTCAGCATCCTGGAAAGATGTTCTACGTGTTCAGTCGTTTGTATTAAGAAAAAAAAACACTTTTTTTCTGTTTTTCTCCAAACAAGCGGTGCTTTAAGTTGGTCATGAGGAGAGACTGTTGGAGGAGATTCTCATCATCCACATGTTTAGAACTCATCATTAACACATCTGTAATGTTTTAAATAGCCGCTGCTGTACTTTGGAGGAGCTTCAATTCTTCATGTTCTCCACCGTCGGAGCCCAAACACGCTCCGTCCGCCCACCGTCCTCGACACTCCTCACGAATAATCGCATTAACACGGTGCTGGAGTCTAATCTGTAACCAGCTGCTATATATATATAAATGAAGTGTTTTTTGTGCTCGACATGAGAAGAAACGCGACCGTCCGTGTTCCAGAACAATGTGTCCCCGACAGAGATGAGCTGAACCGCTGCATCGTGTTCACTCGCTGCTTGAGCAGCTTAAAGAAAAACAACCTGTGCAAATGAATCCAAATGAATGAAGCATCTGGGCTGATGTGTTTTTGGTGAACTGAGCCTTTTGATGCAACATGTTCTTTCTATGGCCACAAACGCAGGTCGCATGAAGCTCAACATGCAGAACAAAGAACCCTGCAGAAGTTTAGGTTCTGATCCGTCTTCCATCAGAGAAGCACCTGGTCGATCCCAAAGTCGCTCTGCAGCACAACAACGTGCTCAACATCCAGCCAATGAACCTCCTTCAACAACAAAAAGACAAATGAGGTGAACCCACAGAGCCTTGATCTACACATGGACGGACTCAATCCACAGAAGAAGCAAAGACGCCTGGAACGAGCTGCCGGCCAAATTCCTGGAAAACCAGAACCAGCGTCTCCAGGAAGACAAACGGTTCTCTTTCCTGCACTTTGTATGAAGTTTGGTGACACGTCGCACCGATAAAATAAAGACGCATGTTTGCACTTGTTCCATCAGAAACAACTCAAACGACTCCCCTCCTCCATCACCCTGGTGTCGTCCTTCACAATAAAAGTCAGCACCGGCCGTCCTGTTTACTGCACACACCTGGTTTTGTGGGACTCGGACGATGAATCTCGCGGTTATAAAGTTTTGGCCCTCAGCTCTAAAAAAGAAACTCCTGAAAAGCGTTTGCTGTCTAAGTTTAAACTCCCTCAAGTTAAGAGGATTATTTATGACCAGAATAATTGATTTTCCATTCGCTGTTCTGTCCAGTAGAGAGACGGAGGAAACACACACAGCTCAGCGTTGAGTTGGACGGCGCAGAGTCCTGACGGCTCGGTCTGGATGCTGAGATGGATTCACGCTGCAGAAGAAGGTTTTTCCAGGATGCAGCCAAGTTTACTGAGTTTATTTAATAAATACTCAGAATCACACAGCCTGTACTGTGAAAGGTCAATAATTCAAACTGTGTGTTTTAAACAATTTACTGCTAAATGCTTCAAATGTCGAGTAAAATCATGGAAAAAGCATCAATTTACAGCAAACCTTTAAAAAAAAAGGACCAAATCTATAAATAATTTCAACGTCAAAATTCATTCTTTTAATAACATTTAATCGCAAAATTATCAAGTTTTTAGTGCATGTTGATCAGCAACAGATATCACTGTTTTACAGGTATTTGCCTGAAAAATATGAAAGAAAACTGATGTATGTTACATACATTATTATAAAACAATGATTGTTTTCAACAGTTTGTCTAAATTAAAAACATCTGGCAAAATGAGAGAAAAAAGTATTAATTTAATCAGTATTAATAAGAATATGATTTTACATAAATGACTTGTAAACAGTTTTACTACATTTAGATCAGTATCAAAAATCTTTATTTTAAAATTATGCAAATTAACGGTACATTTTTTAACAGTTATTTTACAGATTGTCTCTGTTTTGTTAAATTATAGACAGAATGCAGTAAAATCAGAATTCTTTTACAGGTTGACTGTAAAAATATCTGTATTTATATTTTACAGATATTTATAATAAGCCCTAAAATATTACAGCAGTTAGTCTTTATCATGATTTTGTAACCTATGTCTGTTTCTCTTTTTTTTTGGTTGTTTTGTTTCATTGTATTTATTTTATTTTTTTACATATTTCTTTTTCCGCCTCTACATCAGCGCTCTTCAACCTTTTTTGCTCCACGGACCGATTTTAAGCAAGAACATTTTCTACAGACCGGTCATCACGCACAAAACAAAAAATAATTGTTTTTTCTATTAAGAAGTTTCACAAATGAATAAAATTTCTTGCTAAATACGTGTTTTTCTTCCGTCTCAGTATCGAGTCTCTCCCACTTTCCAAAGAAGCTGAGATGTTTGTTTTTTTAAAGTAATTTTGGCAACTGTTGGACTGACGGCTTCGTTAAACGGATAAAACCTGACGTCAAGAGCGAGAAACAAGCGCAGACAGAAGATGAGTTGTCATTTTTCAAAATAAAACACTCTGCAGACTCCACTGGGGGGAAAAAATTTTAAAAAAAAGTTTTTTGTTTTTTTTTTCTGTGCGGCCCGGTACCAAATGACCCACGGCCTGGTACCGGTCCGTGGCCCAGTGGTTGGGGACTGCTGCTCTACATGACTGTAAATGAGGACGTGAGCTGGAACACGTTGGTTTTTATCCAGCCGTCATTGTCACGTCTTTAGTGTGAATAAAGGTTCAACATGAATAAGTTTATAATGACTGAGTTGTGCTTTAACATTAAATGTGGTCACTGAGCTCTTTAATAAGAAATCAAACCATGTCAGACTCTTTCATTTTTTAAAAAGACACAAGTATTTATTTTTTATTTTAATTGCCTTTGAAAAGCCACTAAATCCTACATTTTCTCTCATAAAACTTTAAAACAACGTACAAATGGTCCGTCTGAGGCCCGGTGGAACCGTCTGGGCCTCACGAGAGGCCGGCTGCCAAAGATGCATTTAAAATCATTAAATTAGTGCGGCTAACGGGGCCAGTAAAATGTAAAAACGCTGCCGAGCACTGATGTGAGGCATCACAGCGCGTTGGACACAAACGCATTTCAGGCATGTTCAACATGGGGATAGCTTTAAAAGGCCCTAATAGCCGGAGAGGCTG